AAAAAAGGGTCTAGGCCCGAAATGTCAGCCTTCCTGCTCCTCTGATGCTGCTTGGCCTGCTGTGTTCATCCAGCTCTACACCTTGTTATCTCAGATTCTCCAGCATCTGCAGTTCCTACTATCTCTGAACCTATATATCTCTGTCTTAAACACACTCAATGACTTGACTTCCATAGCCCTCTACGGTAATGAGTTCCACAGTGTCACCATCTTCTGGCTGAAGAAATTCTTTCACATCTCTGTTCTAAAGGGTCATCCCTTCAACCTGAGACCGTGCTTTTGGTCCTAGTTTGTTCTATTAGTGGAAACATCTTCTCCATGTCCACGCTATCCAGGCCACTCAGTATCCTGAAAGTTTCAATCAGATCCCCATCGTCCCCCCTTCTCCTTCTAAACTCCATTAAGTACAGACCAGAGTCCTCAACCGCTCCATATAACAAGCCCTTCATCCCTGGGATCATTCTTGTAAACCTCCTCCGGGCCGTCTCCAGCACCAAGATATCTTTCCTTAGATACGGAACCCAAAACTGCTCATAATATCTCAAAAGTGGTCTGATCAGAGCCCTATACAGCCTCAACAGTACACGTCTGCTCTCGTTTTCTCCCCTCTTGAAATGCCAGCATTGAATTTGCATCAAACAAAAACAGAAATTGCTGGAAAAGTTCAACAGATCTGGCAGCATATGTGGAGAGAAATCAGAGTTAATGTTTCAGGTCGAGTGAGCCAAGGAACCAGTTCTGAGGCAGGGCCACTTGACCCAAAATGTTAACTCTGATTTCTTCCCACAGATATTGCCAGACCTGATGACCTTTTTCAGCAATTTCAGTTTTTGCTTCTGATTTACAGCATCTGCAATTCTTTCAGTTTCTGTTGCATTTGCTTTTCTAACTGCCAACTGAAACTGCATGTTAATCTTAAGAGAATCTTCAACTAGGACTCCCAAGTTCCTTTGTGCTTCAGATTTCCGAAACCTTTCCCTGTTTAGAAAATAGTCTATGCCTGTAAACTTCCTACTAAAGTATATAACCTCATACTTTGCCTCATTGCATTCAATCTGCGACTTCTTTGCCCACTCGCCCAGCATGTCTAAGTCATATCTGCAACCTCACCACCTTCTCAACGGTACCTGTCCCTTTACCTATCTTTGTATCACCTTTTAACTTAGCAACAATGCCCTCAGTTCCTTCATCCAGATCATTAATGTTTAATGTGAATAGTTGTCCCAATACAGACCCCTGCAGAACTCATCACTGGCTACCATCCTGAAAAGAATCCTTTATCCTACTCTTTCCTTTCTGCCAGTTAACCATTCCTCTATCCATGTCAGTTCCTCGTGCCTAACACAATGGGCTCTTGTCTTATTTTGCAGCCTCTCGTGTGGCATCTTGTCAAAGGCCTTCTGGAAATCCAAATAGATCATGTCCACTGGCTCTCCTTTGTCTAACTTGCTCATTACCTCCTGAAAGAATTCTAACAGGTTTGTCAGGCATGACCTTCCCTTGACAAAGCCTTGTTGACTCTGCCCTATTTTACTCTGCACTTCCAGGTAGTTCACAATTTCATCCTAAATAATGGTCTCTAAAATCTTACCAATGACTGAGGTCAGACTAACCGGCTTATAACCTCCTGTCTCCTGCCTCCCTTCTTAAACAGCAGTGTTACATTAACCATTTCCAGTCCTTTGGGACCCTCGCAGATTTCAGTGATTGCTGAAATCCCTCTATGATCTCCTTAGCTATCTCCTTCAGAATTCTGGGGATATTGTCCATCCGCTCAGGGTGATTTATCTGCATTCAGACTTTGCAGCTTCCCCAGCACCTCCTCCTTAGTGATGGCCACTACATTACCTCTGCCCCCAACTCTCTTGAAGTTCTGGTACGTTGCTAGTGTCTTCACTGTGAAAACTGAGGCAAAGTACCTTTTCAGTTCTATTTCCCACTGCTTTCTCTGTACCCATGCCACAACCAACCAGAGTTAAATTGCCAGTCAGACACTTTTCTCCTGTCGTGTAGATTGTTACGGTCTTCTGAAATTTGTCATTTTTGCATTTGTCCTGAAGAGTGAAACATAAAAAGCTTTGGCAGCGTGACTCACTTTTCAGCAATGTTCAAATATTTATAAATTAAATCAAATAAACTTAATGAGATTGGCTTGGATCATCTTCTTGATTTAGAGATCACTTAATTATGTACTCTCATTAGCCTTGTTTGATCAGTTCTGTTCACACTGTTTTATTTTGTTCCTATGTGTAATCTGTAATTAAAAATTTATCATCTGCTACGCAAGAACTAATACATATTGTTTGAAAACAGCAGTGCTGGAGTTAACACTTTACACAGCACTTAAGATCAGTTCATGTGTATTACAAAATATTCCGTTGAATCTGTACAGTGTGGAAGCAGGCCATGCAGCCTATCGAGTCCACACTGACCCTCCAAAGAGCACCCCCTACCCTATTCCTGTAACCCTGCACATCCCTGGACACTAAGAGCAATTTAGCATGACTAATCCACCTAACCTGCACATCTTTGGACTGTGAGAGGAAACCGGAGCGCCTGGAGGAAACCTGCATAGAAACGGGGAGAATATTCAAACCCTGCACAGTCTCCCAAGGCTGGAATTGAACCTGGGTCCCTGGCATTGAGCGGCAGCAGTGCTAACCACTGAGCCACTGTGCCATCTCTAACGTAGTATAATAATTCAAATATAGAAAGTGACGAGGATTACTACAACATAATGTTTTTCAGTGTATTCTAAATTATATAGTGTATAATGCAGGCATTCGTATGTCTTGTTTAGGCATGCCAGTTGTCCTTGCCAAGGAGGAGGAATCCGTTTTGGTGGGTGCTGCTATTCTAGGAGCATGTGCATCAGGTGATTTTAAATCATTACAGGTATGGTTTAACTGGAAAATTTTACAGCACATTTCATGTTGAAACTACCTCTTCTGTTTGGCCTATCTGCATCATGTTCAGATGTACTCAAAACACCCAGCAAATTAACAGCTTCTGAAACCTCAACGTTCATTGCCAGATGGACAGATTTTTATTTTCAAAAGCAAGCTATGAGAAATTCTGTGTTATAGCTCTTATCCTCCTTGTTTCTGCTCAAAGTGCATTCATTAATTTTGTAAGGAATGACTTGCCCTGTGGTATAGTCTACTCAAGTGAACTGTTCCATAAAATGAAACGTCAATCGGACATATGTTTTGTTTTGCAGTTCTACCCACATTGCATTTCTAATTTCAACAGTACTAGAGTGAAGTGGCAGTGCTTTCCGAAAGGGAAGTCTGTAGGTTTATCTAGCCTTGGGTTATTCTAGTGCATTACCCAGAAGGCAGTGACACAGCAAAATATTTAAACAAGCGCCTGACATGCCACTATTTACACTGTTTAGGACAGAAAAATAAAATCTGAAAAAAACTGAACTTTCATAATTGTTCTAAGGAAAAAGGTGCAGTTGTATCTTATATCCTGCTACGAAAAAAAGCTCTTTAAAAGCAGTTAAAAGATGTTTCATTGCGTGATGTTTTCCAAAAGGGAGAAAGAACAGAAGCCCCTTGTGCTTTTGCTGTTTACTGTTACCTGACACCAAATGACATCTGTTGCCCTTCTCTTCTGGTGGGTGCTTGTATCATTTAACATTTACACATGTCCATAACGCTAAAGTGTACTGGTATAAAATCCCAGAGATCATTATCGTAGATGTAGCGTCTGCACTTGCCAGACTTGGCACAGTTTACAGATGCCACACTGCGTGTCATGCTTACTCACAGACCAAAACATGATATCTGACATAAACAAAGAGTGAAATGTGATCTGGCCTGAGCCTTTGCTGTCTTTTTTTTTAAATAAAAGTACAACTGTTTGAATGTCTTACTATCACATTTTTTTTAAGTTGGAGAAGGATTCTGTCATTATTTTTCTGGATTCCATTACTTCTGCTTCATAATAATTTTTTAAAAAGTCACAGTCTTGTTTATGGAACAGAAAGAGGTTACATGGCCCAAGGTGTCCATGAGACCTTCCTGTGGAGCAGTCCAGTCACCCCCACTGACCAACTCGATCCCAAAGCTCTCTTAGTTTATTTCATTCAAGTACCCATCCAATTTCCTTTTGAAACTATTGATTGTTTCCACCTCCACCACCCTCATGGGCACAGTCATTCATACAAATTGTGTGTAAAATTCTTCCTCACATTTCCCATGCAATTCATGCCCAAAATCTTAAATCTGTGTACCCTAGACCTTGTTCAATCAATCAACTAATGTGAAAAATTTGTCTTTATTTGTCCTTACCCAAGCCAATCATAATCTTGTACAACTCTATCAAATCTTCCCTTAATTTCCTTTGCTTCAAGGAGATCAACCCCAGTCTTTCCAACCTAATGGTTTAACTTAAGTCAGATTAGTTTAGATCCCAGGAGGTTAAGGGTAGAGTATTGGCTTGCAGAGTATCCAGTTAAATGGGTTCTTCTCTGAATGGCAAATTGTAATTAATGGGGTGCCGCAAGGTTCAATTCTGGGAATTCAACAATTTGCAATCTATATAAATGCAGGGGCAGAGTGTAACATAGCAAAATTCGCAAATGATTCTAATCTAGGTGGGAAAGCAGGCTGTGATGAGAAGATAAGAGTTTAAACGTGGATATTGATAGGCTAGGAGAATCTGCAGATGGAGTGGTTAATATGTGGATAAATAGTTATCCATTTTGACCAGAAAAATAAAAGGGCAAATTATTATTTTATTGGTAAGCAGATCCAAAGTGCGTCTGGGCGGAGGGATCCGTGCGTCTTTATGCATGAATCACAGAAAGTGGACCTGCAGGTGCAACATAAAATAAGAAAGGCTAGTGGAATCCTGGTATTTATTGAATTATAAAAGTAAAGAAGTGTTGTTACATTTATGCAAGGTGTTGGTGAGACCACACCTGGAGTATTGCGTCCAGTTTTGGTCTCCTACTTGAAGAAGGATGTGGTGGCACTGGATGCAGTTTAGAGGAGGTTCACCAAATTGATTCCAGGGATGAAAGGGCTGTCATACGAGGAGCTTTTGAATAAATTGGGCTTGTACTCAATGGTGTCAAGAAGAATGAGGTGGCGGAATCTGATTGACGTATATAAAATGCTAAAGGGGATTGATAAGGTGGATGTTAAACAGATGTTCATCCTTGTGGGACAGTCTTGAACAAGACATCATAGATATAAAGTGAGAGGAGGTAGGTTCAAAACTACTAAGATGAGGAGAAACTACTTCTCTCAGAGGGTTGTGAATCTGTGGAACCCAGTGCACCAGAGTACAATGGAGGCCGAATCAATCAACACACTCAAGAAAGAAATAGATATTTTCTGATGAAAAGTGGGATAAAGGGCTATGGGGAGCAGGCAAGAAAGTGGAGTTGAGACCAGAATAAGACTGGCCATGATCTTGTTAAATGGCAGAGCAGGCTCGAAGGGCTGAATTGCCTACTCCCACTCTTAATTCCTTATGTTCCTATGGCACTGAGAGGGCTGTATCTCCTCTATAGAATTCATCAACAGGAAAGAGTTCTGTTCCATTTATGTCCGGATGCTCTGTGATCACTGGTTCTCCTCTTTTGAGGTGAGCAGCTGTGACCCTGGCAGTTGCCACAACTTACACATACTGGAGCTGTCATGTTGCTGCAATGGGAGCCTCACTAGGCTGGCTACTGGCAGACAAAAGCTAATTACTGCAACCATGGCAGATGACACCATTGGACAACCCCTTAACTGATGCAGAGCGCAGATATAATGCTGCCCATGCTTCAACCGGGGCCGTGGTGGAGCAGATGATAGGCTTCTGAATATGAGGTTCTACGACTTGGACCAGTCTGAGAGTGTATTGCAATGTACTCTGGGCAAGGTGTGTTGCATCATTCTGCCTTGCTATGCCTACACAAGTGGAGCAGGCAACAAGGTATTGTGCTAGATGCTGAGGTACTGGGAGACTAGGAACTGTTTTCTGAGGAGGAGGAAAAGGACATTGAGAATAAGGAAGCTCTCCTTGTGCATGACAGGTTTCAGCTAGATCGGGTGCTGCAAGCCAGATAGGCCTTGATTATCACTCTTTTCCAGCAGATGACAGCTGGGTGTAACAAACTACCTTGGATTGTAAAATAGTCAATATGTATGAAATTCATTTGTACTCTGATAGCAAAATAGAGCCTCTGTTCATTTTATTCATATTCATATCTGTTGATTGTAAATAAATGATCCAAAGATCAAATAAGACATCATAGATATGGAGTGACAGGAGGTACGTTCAAAACTGAGATGAGGAGAAACTACTTCTCTCAGAGGGTTGTGGATCTGTGGAACCCACTGCAACAGAGTGGAGGCCAAATCAATCAACACATTCAAGCAAGAAATTGATGTGTTTCTGATGACAAGAATCTTTGAATTTGTTAGAATGCTTATCTGTATGTTATGATCCCCCATTAGAATCACAAAATTCCCTACAGTGCAGTTAGAGGCCATTCAACTCATAGAGTCTGCGCTGACTCTCCGAAGAGCATCCCAGATTATCCCCATAATCTCCGTTTACGATTGTTAACCCACCTAGACTGCATATCACTGGACATTACGGGGCAATTTTGCATGGGTAGTCCACTTAACCTGTATATCTTTGGACTGTGGGAGGAAACCGAAGCACCCAGAGGAAACTCATGCAGACATGAGGAGAACATTCAAACTCCACACAGACAGTCGCCCAAGGCTGGAATTGAAGACAGGTCCCTGGCACTGTGATATCGCAGTGCTAACCACTGTGCCACCATGCCACTATTGGACATTACAAAATGCAGGGCTCCAGTAGACATTGAGGACAGAATAGCAGTGACTTAGAGAAGGTGGTAAGTTGGGATTTTGCTAAGGACAGGTAAGCTTTGTAATCTAGTGATTATGTTGTCAACCAGGGCGGCTGTGTGGTAGGAGTATCATGTGTTGGGGCTGCTGTGCAATGATGTTGCTTGTGAAGGGCAACTCTGAAATGCCAATGCATGACCAGATGTTCAGCTGGGGTTTAGAGATGGTTAAAATATCAGGGATGCCAGTCTAGCCCATAATATCAGGTGAGAGGCAAGTTCTTCTGCATATGGTTAGTGGTTGAATCAGGCTAGGACGGCGTTTGAGGGATGCTATAATCAATTAATGTGGCGAGTTTCATAAGCTCGTGCCAGAAAACTTGCTAGGCCTCACAGAAAGGCCTTCTATGAAATTTGTGGAAATTGACATAAATCAAACCATGCTACTATACCGAATATAGAGAAATAGTACAATGGTTAGAACAAGCAAGTTTGAAATTGTATTTCCTTTACAATTTCCTGCTCTTCCATCCTGAAAAAAAAGGTTATTTACTGTTCTACATATGGCACCAAATCTCGATGACTTAATCCAAGTGAGACCCTAGACTATGGTTGGCCATTGGGTGTTCTATTGAGGAGAGCGCTGAATCAATCCCATTTTGTCTTTATCTGACATTTGCAAACAGAACTTTCCATGTACGGCTCATAAGAAGATCATTGGATAGGGATCAGAAATGGGACGCCTACTTATCTTTCCCCCATGTACAAGTCCAGACTGTTGAAGTAAACTATTGCTTGGAATGTAATGCAATTTTCTTTAACAAGGTCCTGTGACCTTGTTGAATAGGGTTAGTCTGACATGCAAGAATATGACATCAAATTAGTTTGATTCCATGGAAAATTGACATTCACGAGAAAGAAAAAAATTAATTTTTAACAACCTGTGTTGAAATTATTGCACACTGCCAGTCCATACAATGTGTGCTAATCTAAATGTGGGTGTTGGCAGTGCTACTGTGTCCCATACACACAAGCATACAGCTTGAAGTCATGCACCATGGATATTCTTCAA